TAGCGTCCGCAGTAAAATTCTTTTTATTTCCGTGGTCATGGGAATTGAACCTGCGACCTCACCATACTCAGGCTTAATGAGGGTCTCAGTGACTAACCACCAAGATAGGGTGACCAACCCTTAGTTTTATCCTTTTCCTTTGCAAACAGTCTTATGACTTTATCTTTTATTTATATTTAAACTTCGAGAATGTGATCGAACAATATTCCAAAAATAAGAAAATAAACTAATAAAAAATAAAAAAAAAAATAGCTTCACGATTCATTCAAATAAAGAAATCTAAACTAGAATAAATTCAAGAAAAGAAAAACTAAACTATTACAGAATCGCATACCCCAACTTTACCCGAAGGCCAGTGTGAGTCAACTATTCAACATCCAAAAATCCAGTCTGTTACCAGAAAGATATCCTAAGAGGTTGAACTGTTAAGCGGCGCAGAAAATCCAAGTGCGAAATCCATGATCCACCCCGAATTATAGAAGAGGATATCCAAGAAATCCAGGAATCCTGAGAAACTGTCGCCAAAGAAGAGTTGTGTTTATGTAAAGAAGTAGCAATAGAAGAAGAATTTGTAGACGGGCCACGTAATTTGGAAGCAGCCGAGATACCCTGTGACTCTTCCCAAGCATGGAAAAGAACATTCCGACACAACCAAATTTCACCATAAAGCGCGATTTGAAAGTCGTTTAGAAGAGGAGAAATAATTTTGTATATAACAGAAAGGGGAAAATGCCGATTTAAAAATGCTGTTAAATGCGCAGGTAATAATCCTCTAGTAAGCCAGAGACAGGTCGGCGAAGGAAATTCATAATTCCAACAGTCTAAAGCAGAGAATCCAGTTTGGAAGGTAATATCCAAAGGCTTTAAAACTAAGAACGAAGATAAACAAGAATCTCTGAATTTGATTATTTCAGAACGATGTGTTAAGCACGGATTTAAATCTGGTAGAATATAAGGACAAGTCCAAAGATGATTCAAATCTTCAGGAGCTGAGTTGCACTGTGGACAAAACCAATCAGGAGAATATAAATAAGGTTTGCGTTGTTGAAGAGTAGTTAAGGTAGGCAATATGTCCAAAAGGAGTTTGATGCGGAAGATCCAGAATTCAGGACGACCATTCTTATGCGAAGCAAAACCTTTAATTTGTGAGAGGCAAAAATATATACCAGCCCAATCAAAAAGTGAAGGAGAACCAAGAGCAGTAAAGCGTGCCAGTGAACAAAAAGATAATAGAGCACAAGCGTCTGCTATAGAGCGGAGAAAATGACGAATATTCAGGTCAATGGGCAAAGAGTTAAAAGTCAATAAACATGGAGCATAACAAAATGCCAAAGGTGAAACGGTGGGTTGTAAAGATGAATGAGCGTCTTTTGCCAAAAAATTCGCTTGTATATTGTGGATGTCATCGCCATGAGCAGGGACTTTAATCAAAACGACTTTAAGATTACAATCCATGATAAGTTGTTGAATAGAAAGCCAGAGAAGATGATTAGGTTCGCGAAGCAACTTCGGTGAAAAAGGAGAATCAACGAAACGTGTCCAAAGTGAAATTAACTGACTACAATCAGTATAAATAGAGATTGAAGAGTCACGGGAAAGGGCGCTCAATCCTAATAAAACAGCATAAATTTCAGAACGTAAAGCTGAAGGGAAACAAGAAGGGAGATGCATGGATGAAGATTCAAGGATAAATCCATCATCATCAAGAGCAATCCAAGCAGAAGCCATGGAAGAGGATAAAGGATCTTCAGCGGGACGGAAAGAACCATCCGTATACAAAGATTGCACAGAAGGTGGCAAGACATCCTCTTCTATCCTATTTTGAGAAGGAGGAGAAAGGGTGGAAGAGCCAGCTGAGGGTAAATTCGTCAAATGAACAAGGGCCAAAGAAGTAGCGTAACTCCATGAAGTAGACAAAGTTATGGGAAGATAAGCCGCAAATACTTTGGCATTTCTGGTAGGATAGCCCACAGTTTCCGATAAGATTACATTAAAAAAGCACTTCTCGCTATTACAGCGTTGTTTAATGGCAGATTTCTTGGATAATGCTGGAATATTAAGATCACAGCCAGGGCAAGGGTTATAAGTTCGTTCATCAGCCGAGGTAGATACGGGAAGCCAATGAGACATGATAGCTGAGTTTTGTTTCTTGTAGGTGATACACACACGGCCAACAGATAAAGTTTGGGTAGCAGAATCAAGATTAATAGCCCATTGAGGATAAAAATAATAATCTTTAACAGTACGATCTAATAAACAAGGAGAAGC